TGCGGGTGCGCCAGCCTGCCGCGCGATGTCGCGTTGCGAAGAGCGAAAAAGTCGCGTTCTGTCCTAAGTACCCACACCCGGAATTCGTTCCCTTGCAAAAATTGGATTACCGTAATGGGATGAACTACTGCGCTACCAAGCACTTTTGGAATTAACGGATGGAATTAAGGAATTTAACTGTTCCAAAATGTTTTCAGGCGGATCAGGCTCGTTCTGCTTCTGGCTTATTTAGCATTTCTCAATTCCAGAAAATGTCGGTGTATATTATCTTACCCGAAAAACATCGCATCAATTACTAGTAGTGTAAATATTGGAGTTATGATGATTGTAAAAAAATAGAAACAAACAGGCGTGAGTTACACAACGGGCTGCCATCAGGGAGTTAAGCTGCAGTCCAAATCCGAATGTTATTACTTGTTGAAGGATGTTCCAAAGGCTCCACAAAATCACCCTCTTTACAATTCGAACAAACCTAAGTATTTATAACGAAAACAACTTGAAGGCCTCACATATCGAAATACTTATTGCCGTTAGCGTTCGCATGATTACTTGGCTGCTAGCTGTAACATTGCACCAATATTGTTCGTGCGCACTTTTTGTGCAGAAAATAAAAAGAAAAAATGAAAAAAATTGAATGAAAGGTATATAGCTTCAAACTCACATGTCCTTCGAGCCATAGGACTCGAGCGGCACCCAACAGGAACCGTAACAGCCGATCGATGCGTAGGAGTACCACTCGTTGAAGGAGTTGCACCTAATTTAACAGTAATTTTGCGGAAAATCGCTTTAATCGCTTCAAGTTAAAGCGGAAATGAAGTGAAATCAAACAAAGCGCAACGAAGCAATTTGCTGCAAAACTTGTTAAGTCAAATGTCGTCACACAGAGCTTACCCGATGAAGTGTATAAATACCTTCGATAGCCGGTGTAATTGCGTAACTCGAGCGATACCGTACGCTCACGCTCTATTTTCGTTGATCGCAGGGATACAAGCTGGGATTCGAAAAGATACGAACTGATGTGCACTTTCTACAGGTCTATGTCCTTTTTCCCATAATCGGCTATCTGTCTTATCCTGTCTGGATTACGTGACTACTTGAACTCTCCCCTGTGTTCTCTGCCGCGAAAGGCCAGAGCGCAGACGATTAGAGAACGGCGCCTGGCTCGGCTCCAAATCCCAAGAAGGAAGGTGAGAACTCTAGGACTAAGCCTTGGAGGGAGGAGGGACTCCGGAGTGGATGAGCCAATTACTTGTGGCAAAGTTTGAATGTATCAGATCACAGTAATCATAAGCCGCTGTTAAAGCGAGAGAGCGCAGGCGAGAGCATCAAATCACGGCGGTTTAAAGGACCGAGTTCAAGCTGTCCGTATACTCCTGCCAATTGCCACGAAACTTCGAAAATGGCATCTAATAGGCCAACTAATACATATTCTGGCAAAGTACCGCTGCATAAGTCAAAACATCTTCTGCTTCTGGGACGAACCTCAAAATTAAAGATAGCATAAGGGCAAAGACCAGGATGTAAAAAACCACCGACAAAGAGAAAATTAAACCTCTCTCCAGGTAGCGGGTAAGCGAAATAGTATCGATTGGCGGGCGGGGCCTATGGTGTGGGCGGAGCGTATGGTGAATCCCGGGGCTTGAACGCGTCAGACTTGTTAAGTCGTGGCTGGCACCAAGTGGGTACTTGCTCTACGCTTGCGTTCCACTTTATTCCATTTTCTCGCGCAAGAGCTTCACTTAGTCCTGAATCTCGCATATTGCCTTCAAAGTTCTGAGGATCAAGCAACATATTTTCACAGCAACTGTGACGCACGGTTTTTAAATTTACTGGCAACTATAAACATGCTAACCAATGTATCGCTTCGTGTCCGACGACGTGGATCTCCGAGGAGGGATCAAACACAAACCGTCACCAAAGCCGAATCTGAGCTGCCTCCATTTCCGGAATCGACTTTCGAAATCTGCAAATAGTTCTATGCACATTCTAGAAGGATTTGCTTTGCAGGAGTCAAAATACGTAACTTTATGGCGAAGAGGAATTTGGCAATGATAGCGTTGTCTTATCCGTAGAAAAAGGGTCAAATAAAATGTTGAAAAAATGTGTAGCGTTTCTTTCAAGTTCGCACGTCCGACAACTGGAACGGGTTAAAGGCACTGATCACGGTGGCGGTGGCTGGAGGGTGTTCCGGTTTCGATGACGTCGTTGAACGTCATTGGTGGACGAGCACAAAGAGGTCCCAACCACGCCCTCTCCCCACCCCCCCCCCAGCACTCTGAGGGTTTTAGTCCACCAATGACATTCGATGCCGTCATCAAAATCGCAACGCCCTCCAGCCATCGTGATTGCTGCCTTTGAACGCTCAAGTGAACGTGCCCAGTGTGCGACAGGGACAACACATTTGAAGCGCAAAATCAAGATCATTCTGAAGATTCGAACTTATAATCACGCTCTGCTCCAATACTACCCAACTATTACAACTCAGCGGACGAAAATTCATTTTTGTTTATTCCTTAAAATTTCGTGGTCCATGTTACAAATATGACATCCATTTTCTGGTGCCAAGTTGCCACAACTTGTTTTGACGGAATTCGTTGGAAACGGAGCCATGAGGTGCTTTGACCGCGACTGTCGTGCACATTTTTAAACCTAGAAACCTGATTCGACTTAGTCTAACTAAGATCCTCGGTTTCTTCAGCCTCACACACAGCCCTTTGAGATCCAATCACACTGGGTATTCGATGGCGTTACGTTACGTTAGAACAGCGTATACGACGTTCCTGATTGCATCGCAGGTGTATTTAACAACAGAATTGATTTCACAAAAGTAGGAATACTCTATTCATTCTGTATTCAGATCCGAGGGAGTGAGTATGCTGGGAGAACGGGTTGATTATTCGCGTATGACTTAGACGCATCACAGAATTTCGAGATCACGAACCTAAAGGCAGTGAACGCTATGGCTGGAAGGCGGAGCCGTTTGATGACGCACTAGGCGTGGCCTTTCTTCGCACGCGACGCTGTGGTGATCCCAAACACCTTCTTTTCAGTGCGCCGATTGTGTGGTCCACCAATTAAAGGATAAAAGGATAAAGCATTTGCCGTTGATCAATCCCTTTTTGGGATGCGGCACGCATTCTACTTCCATTTGTACATTCGTAGTGGCGTTTGAATGCGATGTGGCCTATACAATGACTTGCGGGGGCCAGCCGATGTACAAGTCAGTGTTTTTATCCTCCCAGACAAGTCTGGTACCAATTAACCGACCCCGGAGGGATGGAAGGCTTGGTTGGCCCGGGCGACTCACGACCCAGGATTTGATCCCCGGACCGCTCGCGTGGTAAGCGCGCCACTTGCCACTACACCACTTCCGCCCTTTTTGCTTTAATGGCCTAATGACCCCATCAAAACAGCTCCGCCCTCCAACCGTCATCTTCACTGTCTAGCTTCCTTGGAATACATGTGAAACGTTCACGGTCGTGCTATAAGAATGCCGAAATTACAAAATCAGTACTCATTCTGGCACCGGAACCTGACTTTACGCCGCACAAAACATTGGCGAAAATTTCGATTCTCGTTGAGGATATCAAAAATGAATACAAAGGAAGAGGGGATAGCCATCACCGCAGCGATTTACACCTCTATAAAGCCTCAGTTTTGATCCATAGCGAGCAACAAACGGATGTACGCATTTTGTGCACCTCGGATAATCAGCTATCGTTAATCTTTGTTGCACTCTCGGATCGACTGAAGCCGGATCAGCTACTTTGAGAGTTTTGTTTTCAAGATCTTTCAGCGCTCGAAAAGAGCACTTCCAACATAACTCCTTGAACAAATTTTTTGAGCTCTGGTGATAGCAGAAAGGACGAAAAGCCACTTTAATGAAGGTAAATGACAATGCAATGTCGGGGAGTTTGAACAGAATTCTCACTTGGCATTTCCATGCCGAAATTAGCCAGTTTAAAACGACAAAATAATCATGGTAAGCTGCTCGCTAATGAAGATTTGCAAGAATACGAAGAAAAATACCAAATATACAAGATGATCATATCCTTTCAGAAGTTATTGCTTATTTTTCTTCACACTGACGCGAGCACGACGCGCACGCGCGTCAGACTCTCTCGCAAATGGGCATGGTTTCCCTCTAATTGGTATTTTTTTATGACAGAAAGCTATCCCTCTATATGATCGGATCCAGAAAATACTATACCCATTACAAGTAAAGGAATTGTTGAAAGATCAAAAAAAGACGCCGAGCAACAAGCAGGTTCTGCGAAACATTCCTAAGATGTTCCTCCATGCGCGGACGGAAGCCCCTGTTCGCTAACCTCCTCTTCTTCAAAATACGACGTCATCTGCAATCGCCGTCGAGCCAAGGAGGCTTTCCGCAATTGCTTCAGCCTGAAGCAACTACTTAATTTCTTCAATCGGTTGAGTGATGGATAGCTTCCTGCAGACAGTAGCTCTGACTATGCAGACCCCTGACGACCAGCGTTTCAGATAATGTCGTAATGGTCCATGATCCGTCGATGACCACGTTGAGCTCGAACGTGCACAATGTCCCCATATCAAATTCTTCTGATGTCTTCGGCGTGGAAGGCTAGTGTGACGTTCGTTGATAGAACGGAATGTGCTCTTCAATTTTCAGTTGGTAGCATTCGGTTTGAGGGTGGCAAAGTATGATTAATGCCGTTTTTAACGTAGAGTAGAAGTGGCTTTTTTTTGGCCACCCTGTATAGCAGCTGACTGAAAAAAGCAAAGGAAACCGCTAATGAAGCCTTCGACAAGGACCCTCTCCATTCTCCTTCAAAGTGAGAAATGGGCGTGTCTGGACGAGGTTCCCAAACTTGCTCTGTGGTTCCACAAACCCAGCGTATTCGAATTACCCCTTGCGTGCTGTGTCACGGGGTTTGCGCAAGGTATCCAGTTCATCAGCTGACATTGGCCTACTTTGTATGGCCATAACACTTTTGAAGCGCGATTTTGAGTCGCGTCAACAATACCTTTAGGCCGATGTCGATGGCCTGTCTGGCCGCGACGCGACCGCAGACGCTAGCGAATCGCGCGATTCGCAAAGTCTGACATCGGCCTTATACAACTCGTGGGCAATTTACCCTATCCCCACAGAATAGATTGTTCCACGCGAGATGATTCATTAAATATGATTTGTCAACTCAGTCACTTCCCCCTTGTGGACTCTCGCGCTGAGAAAAGGAAAAATACCATAGAACCGTCACAATCAGCGTGAATATACTCTCCATGAGGAAGCATCGGACGAATCGGACACTACAGGAGAGGGAAAGAAAGATCACAATAATGGGCCCATGAAAAAAATGTTCGATCGATTCTCCGTTTTCGCTTGTCCTGAAATGCTGGCTGCCGTTCCGTTTAATTTACTCCCTATTCACATTCGCCCACATTTGTTTATGAGGATTCCTCGCCGTGCCAGACCACATAACTCATAAATCGACTTGTCCGAATTGCATGCATGTCAATTCTCGAACCTTACTGTCAACATCTAATTTTATATGATTTATGAGAAGAAAACAGTGAATAGGGAAAATGTTCGCCTTTTCGCGTGCGCCATTCACTATGAGATAGCGACGAATGGTCTTCCATTGCGCCGTTGGACCCGCGTCTAACGATGCAGACGGCTATCGTTAATGAGATACGGATCATTGGAAATACTTCGTAAAGTGAACGCCATCAATTTGCTGAAAGCCAGGGAAACCGAAGAAAATACTGGAACAACGAGGTTAAATCCTTCATGGTATGACGAAGAGACGGAGCGCGCAGAGAAGCGTGAGTACGCAAAAAAGTGTGGTGTTGGAGGGGACAAAGACACTTGCATCCGCTGTCACCAATTTTCGAGTAGTGGGAGCGACGCATTGATATCTTGAACAGCTTTAGCACCCACCCACCTAATACTGTGGTCAAATGTCAAGGTGTACTTATACTGCTAGACGAAGATTAGACTACAAAATCCCTTAAAATGTTAGCATTAGTGCGTCTCATCCGAAGCTTACGTCATTCCAGCAAGACGGCTTTCCAGCTGATTTCGCTGACACTCACGTAAAAAATTGTAAAAAAAAAGTCGGTGGATGCACACCCAAAGGGTGTCGTCAATGAAATAAATTGTTAGATGCACTGGAATATGAACTGATTTAAAAAAAGGACAAAGCATTTTCATCCATTCAACCCGTGTTGAGATGCGCCACACATTCTTCTTCCATTCAAATATGTACATGAAATTTACTTTTAATGAATTCAATAAAATTTGCATTTGTTGTAATTGAGAGAAAACTTTTTGTTGCTATATTATTATGTGGGGTCAGATGAAAGAGTAGTCTAGTTTCCGTTTCACACGTGCCCTTCGACGGAAACTAGACAAATAATAAACAAAATCGTAGTAACATCATGAAGGCAAGTCTGGTCCAATTAACCTAGCCCAGAGGAATGGAAGTTTCAGGTCTCCTGGACGACGAATGATCCGGGATTTAATCCCGGATCGTGCGCGTGGCAAGCAGCGCCACGTGCCGCTACACTACTGCGTTCTATGGAACTGCTTGCAGACCAAATATTATTCCGAATGCGATTGAAAGCTGTGGAAGAAAAGCAGAAATAAAACAGGGCACCTGGACGCACCAGTTCTACAATTTGGACGGCTTTAGGAGTACTTCTGCCCGAACCTTATCAAACTTTTACAACACTTATTAAAAATTGCAAATAGAAATATGGCTCGGAAATATTTGGCAGTGCACGTACAAACTGGCTATGCTCGAACCCTCCGCAATTACGAATAAGCGCTCACGCGTGAGTAGCTCGTTATTCTTTCAATTGAAAGAATTATGAGCAAAGCAATTACGCGCGGCTGTTTTAGGGCTGCAATTGGCTAAGTAGCTTAACGTAAAGATGAGAAGTAGACATACCACGAATCTTATTGTTGAACGAGGTATGGTCC